CCCACCACCCACCACCCACCACCCACCACCCACCACCCACCACCCACCCACCACCCACCACCCACCACCCACCACCCACCACCCACCACCCACCACCCACCACCCACCATCCACCACCCACCACCCACCACCCACCACCCACCACCCACCAAGAACCACCATCCAAACCAACCACCCAAACCAACCACCCAAACCCACCACCCAAACCCACCCACTACCACCACCCACAACCACCCACCAACACCACCACCACCACCACCACCACCACCACCACCACCACCACCACCACCACCACCACGGGAACAACACCATCGACAATGCAGTCATGGCTGACGGAGATTTGCAGCGGCTCAGCGACACTATAAATTACACGAAGCTTCACCGAGCACAGAAGGACGGCACTGTAGGTGTGTTACGCCTTTCTCTCGGTTTATCCACCTTCGACCTAACGAGTGCCTCGTGAATATCCTTCCTGTTCTTCGGCTGTGCCCATCCCACCTTCCGGACTTGCCGGAACGGTAGGCGGACTAGCCTGGTTGCCAAAAGAGCTCTATTTCTACATAATTCATCATAATTTGAAAGGTTGGCCTGTGGTGAGCCAACGAACTTAAGTAGCAACCTTGAATCCACCGGGTGGAGCGAACGAGCAAGGCACAGAGGTAATTGCCAGCCGTGCAAAAGCCAACGACCAGCAACTAAATACACAATCAAAGTCCTAAACCTGAAACTCTGAATCCTTGAACACCTGACACCACCACAATCCTAAACCTGACTCCTTAGCCCCCATAAAAGAGTTGAGCGCACAACATCAACAGCGAGCCTGACAGCTTCGTGCTGCATGGTTGTTTCCTCTCCGAACCCAGAAACAGCAGCAAAACAACAACAGAACCACAGCCTGACTCAGGTTTGGGGGATTTAGGATTACAGTTAGGCGTGCTTGGAACACCCGATCGCACTTGTCTGACATGGAATTTGTCCTGGCCGGTAGCCGCTACACGAGGCAGCACGGAAGCATAACCTTGCCTGTATTCTCTATACTGACTCTAATGGTCTAATGTAGCGCAGTTTTTGGTAATCAGTTTCATGGCTCTTTCCAAGGTAAATAGTGTTACAATTATGACAGCTATGACAATCTTATGACCGAGAGCTGATTGCCACGTCGAATTCACATTAGGGTATTAGGGTCTGCAGGGTTTGAAAGGCTTAGACTTTTAACCCACTTCCTCGGCCTACACACCAAATCCCCGATCCCAGCCAAGTTCCTACAGCTTGTTTGTGGTCGAGCTGCTGGAGCTCTAGGGTAGTTGGCCCTGCGCAGGTGATTTCGAAGATGTCCTTCGTACATCTTGTCAAGTCCTGCATGAGCATCGTGCCCGACCACGTGCAACAAACGCTGACTGCTCTTCGTGTGCAGCTACCCTTGCCGCAGGCCATGCCTGCGCCCCGACCTACATCCATCCTGCTGTGAAGCCCACAAGATACCGTTTGGGGATTTAGAAGGTCTAAGGGTTTAATGGTTCAGGCTTTAGAGTTTTAGAGAGAAGCCTGCTGCAAAAAGGGTGAGTTTCAAAGGGTGTTGTTTGTTCTAACTCCTGAATGAGAACCCTAAGTTTCCGAGGAGTCACAGCCGCCTCCAAATGATATCCATACTTTGGCTGTCTACAGTCTACTTACCAAATGAAAGCAATAAAGGGACCGAGCATTTTCTTGTTTTGTTTAGTAGTATATAGATGTACTGGGCGATGATATTGAAATATTGGCATAGTATGGAAGCTGAATATTCAGAAATGTCATGTCTTCGGGCTCCTAATGTATGATATGGTATGCATGTATACTCCAAAAAGCCTGTTCTAGTTATTGAGGCCCCTTATAGTAAAGACGGCCTTGCATGTCGCATAGCTGAAGTTGACAGCCGCACGCGTTGGCTTTCAGGTTTCGGGATGTTCAGGGTTTGGGGTTTGGGGTTTATAGTTTTTTGGTTTGTAGTATTTAAGGCCCACGACCGGCAGATCCCGAAGGGTCCGAGGTTACATACTACGAAAGCGTGGTTTCTGCTCTCGAAACTTTTTTTTGTTCGTATTCGTGCAGGCGTTACATTTTAAGGTACTTAGGATCCGCGGGGGGCCAGGAGGCCGTAGGCTTTACTTCAAGCCCGAGAACTCGAAAGACTGATGTCAGGATTGAGGTATGTGAAGCTGTCGGTGTCTCGTGTTGGGGCACCAATGAATCAAGGGGTTAATACTAATGCTGTATACTCAAGGGATTTGAAACAGATATTCCTTACACTGAGGGTCCAAGTACTCAGATTATCAGTTCGGGTCCCGTTGTAGGTTTCAGAACCATAGGTAAGGATTACGCGGCTCCTTGGTTAGGGTTTCCTTTGAACATACAGCAGAACGGCTTAACAGTGGACTAATTCCGATGTGGGTACATTCGGCAGTGTTTGCATGTACAGTTCCTCCCGCGAAGGGTCGTATAAGTTTCTGATGCTGTTGAACTAGGAGTTCATGTCGTGTGAGCATATATAACAACTTATACAAAAGCAAGAATAACCAGATTAGCCCAGTCCCGGGTTTCATATCTGGGGCCTCTGGCAGGATGTACCAAGGATTGCTTGAAGACCAAGCGCAGACTGTCACACGGTCAGGTCCTCTACGATCGTACCGAAGATGTGTTTTTTTTTTGCGGCGAGAGCGCCATCGGCGCAGGGGATGACAGACACCGGAACCCCGAAGGCTGAATTGCAACATCCGGAGCGGTTCCGAACTCGCCCTTAAACCCTTCGCCTTGCGCCTTGCTTGGTACCCTCTTCTTGAAAGTCCTGCCCGAATACCGTACGTGTAAATGTAAGACCACTACAGGGGACCTAGGGGGTTCTGGATTTCAGCCTTGCTTACTAGCATGTCTGGGATTCCTCAGAGCCCATACCGTTTCGTGTTTTTTTGCAGCCGACCCTTTGCCCCGCAGTGGATGTCACCAGCACTCTTAGTCGAGCTTCAAGTTTAGGCGTGGGGGTGCAATTTTGTTTTTTTTGGGGGTAGTATCCGAATAGATCTTTGGAATCTTGCAAGGGCGCAAAGGCTTGACCCTAGCCTTAAGCCCTAAACCCATGACCTTCAACCGGCTGTGCAGTCTATCACAGTCTGTACAGGCGTCGAGGCATCCCGATAGCAGAACGTGCAGTAGGCACTGCTGGATAAGCTTTAGACCCATGAAGTAGGTAGTCAGTGTTGCTAATCCTCAAACCCTGGGCCCTGAACCGTAAGGTTAGCAGCAAAACAACTAAACCCTATACTTGGCATCTTAAGGGCCATCATCCACCGGGAGATGCCTTCCTTGTGCTGTGTCGCTGTCGCAGACATACATCCTGGGCCGAAACCGTGAGGATCGAGCTATCTGTGCGTGCCAGGAGTTGAGACTTCATGCGTTTAGGGTTTAAGAGTCCAGGGCTTTACGGTTAAACGGCCCAAAGCCCTAATCCCCAAACCCTAAAGTTTCCCCAAACCCGAAACCCTAAACCATAAACCCGGGGTTTCAAAGGGGAGCTTACGGTTAAACGGCCCAAAAACCCTATAATCCCTAAGCCCTAAAGGGGCAGGGTTGCTTCATTGCTGCACGCCGTCCGGTGGCTATCGGAGTTTCGAGGGTTCAAGGCTTGGGTGCTGCGGTGTAGACTACGCACTCTGAAGTCTAGCTCCTATAGAGTATAGAGCCATTAGTTTGGGCTTCCAGGGGTCTATGTAGGGCTTAGGTCTTTGGGGTTTGAGAGTTTAGGATCGGGGGATGTTGGGAGCTAGGTCTTTGAAGCTTGTTTGCGGCTTATAGGGTTTAGGTGGTTTAGGTGTCCCGGTCCTTGAGGTGGAGGCCTGTCTCGCTCGTTGCCCTTTTTCAAGCGACCTAGCAGCTTTCACCAGCCATCTTCCACTGCTACACCTCGGAGGCCTTCTTGCACATAAGTGCTGTTGCTCTTTCAGAAGCCACTGCCCCGGAACACTGTGCTTTAGGCATCGGCACAAGGCAGGTAGACAGATGGACGTTGATCGAAAACTGGAGCGAATCCCTATACAAACCCTAAACCCCATTCACCCGAAACCCCTAATCCCCAAACACCCTGTCACTAAAGCCTCCACCTCCAAGCCCCGAATCCCTAAAGAGGCTTTCGATCCCAAGCGCCAAATCTGCAATGTCACCTGAAATCTCGTTCCAGACCCTCAGGGTCCACGTGCCCGAATCGCATTTCTTTGGTAAGCC